CTTGGGAAGTGAACCAGCAGATGGAAGATCTTTCTCTCTGTCTCTTCTTTGTAAATCTGCCTTTCCAATAAAAAATGAAGTCTTTTTTTTTTTTTTAGGAAAACATACTGGGGTGGGCATTTAGCTTAGTGGTTAAGGTATTAGGGAGGCTGGCACGATGGTGGGGCAGCTTAATCCTCAACCTGCAGAGCTGGCATCCCAGATGGACACCAGTTTGTGTCCTGGCTGCTCTATTTCTGATCCATCTCTCTGATTGTGGCTTGGGAAAGCAGTGGAGGGTGACTCCAGTCGTTGGGACTCTGCATTATGAAGAGTAAGAGAGATTGCATAAGATGCAGGTGTGGGATGTATGAAAGAATCTGTTAGCCGAGCTTGGCGATGGCAGCACCTGCTTCACACTGGGGATCATCTTCGTGTTTGGAGTTTTGCCTTCCTAATACTAACAGCACAGCCTCATTCCTGCACCTGTCCAGGGTGGCAACCAGTGTAAAACTTAAAGCCAGAGAACGAGAAGACGTGGTAATGCAGCTGAGCAGATATGCAGCCTCTGACTTGCCATCCTTCACTATGGGTGGAAGTCCCCATACGGGGCCGCCATATTGGCACCTGCACTCAACATGTAAAACCTAGAAGGAGCACCTTGCTCCTAGCTTCAGATTGGCTCAGCTCTGGCTGTTGTGACCATTTGGTTAGTGAACCAGCAGAGGAAGACTTCTTTCTGTGTCTCCTTCTTTCTGTAAAATCTGCTTTTCAAGCATGTACAAAATTTAAAAATCTTTCCTATGGTAACAGGCTAATGAATATGGCCTCTGGGTCAATGGATACTTTCCACAGGAGACAACACTAAACTCTTAAAGTTCACCTGTCTCCAGAAAGCTTCCTGCAAAATTGTCAGGCTATGATGACAACAGATAAAGCATGACCCGTTCGCCCCTGCAGATTTGAACTTTCTGCCCCAGTATTTGCAAACCCAGGGACTTGTCCACATTCCTCGCTTTTACCCTTATCTTCTTCCAGTGGCCTTTTCCAAAACCTGCTAATTAGAGGATTGAAATCTGTGCTTCAAAAAGATTTTTATTAGCCACAGCTAATCAAAGAAGTTCCTACATTAAAGAATATTAGTATTTTCTAGTCCGCTCTGTTTCCAGAGTTCATCTCATCTTCCTATTACCAGAAAAATAGAAGCAGGCTTCATCAGGATTCTTAGAGGTTGATGGTTGTCCAATTGTGGTGCCCAAACCAACATCACCAACCTCCTCAGGAAACTTGAACATGGACCCCCAAACCTATGGAAGAGCAGCTGTGGGCTGGGGCTTTGATGTATGCCCAGATCTGAAAGCTCCAATTACCACTGAAAGATGTGTCTCGGTCTTCTTTACAGTTCTCTAGCATGGAAGATGTCGCTGAAATCCATGTTATACAATTGTTGACATAACTGGTTGGAATCCTTTTTCCAATGAAAGCCCCTCTCCCAGGAGATGTTGCTCATCGCATCTCACCTCCCCCATCAGATAATCCCTGGATCAGAGAGTGTCTAGAACCTTAACATGATCTTGGAAGGCCTTTTCTTGGACTGATGGTCTGGGATGGAAACTCGCAATGCACAAAACAAGACCCAGAGATTCCAATATTCCTGCCTTTTTATGCACATGGACCTCTTATGGAAATTTTCCATAAAAGCCTCAAGGCTTGTTCAATTTAAGAAGCATTTGCTAGAACCATGTCTAATCCCAGAGAAAACCAAATTAACTCTCACCACAAAGTCGTATGGAATCACACTCTTGGAAAACAAGAACACTTGTTGAAGCGAGGGAAGAATTGCCTGCCTTTGACGCCAGGAGTAACCATGGCCGTGAAATTCCTTGCAAAGACCTCATTGATACTGATAACTGTAAAACCCCAGAGTGGTTGGTAATAGAAAGCAGAGAGGCCTTCGTGTCTACCCTAAGTAGAACATGTGGACCCCAGATCTCATTTTCACAATGGAAGACAAATTCAAAGCAATCAGCAGAACTCATGTTAAGCCTTGAATTTTTTTTTCCAGTTTCTCTTGCACAGCATGTGTCAGGTTAGTACCAAAATAACAAACATATCTTCCAGAGACCCTGAGAGGAGGGTTGAACATGAACGTGGACAGTCGTGGTCAGAGATTCCAATATGCCAGAGCCAAAGATGTCACAATGTAATTATGTCTCATCCGCTACATGTGCCTACGTACCCCTTCCCTGGATGCACAGTCACTACCGTGTTTATATTCTAGGGCTAAAGCTTGGGTACATGACACTTTTTGAACTAGACGAAATGCTGTTCTGTAAGGAGTGTGTACGTGTGTGTCTTTAGAGCCCAGTTCATTGTCTGTAGAGAGCTGATCATTTTGTTGCTGTTCTTCATTTTGTTTTGTTCTTCATTTATTTATTTATTTGACAGGTAGAGAAAGTGAGAGTTTCCGTTTCCTGGTGCAAGTTATAACTGGGATTTGGCTGGGCTGAACCCAGGAGACCAGAACGCAGTCCAGGTCATCTAAGTGGGTGGAAGGGACACAAATATATCATCTGTTGCATTAAGCAAGAAGCTGCAAGTTAAAGCATTTCATTATGGGATGCATACATTTCAGGCAGTGTCTTACGAATTAGCCCCAACCTGGTATATAAAAAATGGCTCTCCAGTTTTTCATACGTGCCATTTTCTGTGATGTAATTATTTCTGCCATGGCCGATTTCAAGCTGCCAATCTGACATTGTGGTGTGCAGTGTTTGGAAAAAATGCATGTGCTTGGCACACTCGAGATGAGTAAAACCTGGCTCCAACACATCATTAGAATGTAGAAAATGCGGAAGGCAGAGGACAGGATGAAGCATTAAAGTTGTGGAAGACGGAGTAAAGTTTCTGCCTGTGACACTGGCATCCCATATGGGCGTGAGTTCATGTCTTGGCTGCACCACTTCCCATCCAGCTCCCTGCTAGTGGGAAGAGCGACAAAAGATGTCCCAAGTCTTTGGGCCCCTGGCTCCCAGGTTGAAGACCAAGATGACATGCGTGGCTCCTGGCTTCTGTCTGATCTGAGGAGCGAACTGGAAGATCTTTTTCTCCGTGTGTGTGTCTCTCCTTCCGTCTCTGTGACACTGGTTTTTAAAATATATAAATAAATCTTAACAAAGATATGAGAAAATGAATTCATGATATTATAGATAATCACAAAAAATCAGTTCTAATACTGGTTTATGCTGCATTCCAGAATTTTGTCAGTTTTTGTGTGCAGCTTTTATTTTGTTACAAGTGTGTGTTTTGTTTTTAAGGTCATAAACATTGTCCTAATGGTTATGTGTGCCTGTCCTACTTTTGAGCATTTAAGAACTTAACAAACATTTAAGAAATAATGCTGTGTATCATTAGAGAAAGATTTTTGCATATGCATGGCTCTTTGGGTATAAATCTTCCTTCATATTTCATGATATTTATCTAGGACAGATTCCAGAATAAAATGATCTCAACGGCAGGTCTTAAGGAGACATTCCCATCCACCATCTGTAAAGTTCCTATCTACGTGCACTCCTACCCATGGGGTTTGAGCATGCCGCTCACTGCACCTTCACTGCACTACTTCTTTCTTCATAGTCTTGATAACTGGCCAAGAAAAGAAGTTTGAACATGGTGTGTTCTGCAGGTGTACTAGACATTTATCCTATTACTGTTTTTGTGTGTCTCCTTGCTAGCGATTTCTGCTCATGTCTAATCTGTGCACTTGACATCTTTGGTGTCCTCTCCTGTGACTGACATCTCAGCTGGTTTGACCCCCATCTTGCTTCTCTTCATATCATCCGTAGATACTACCGGGCAGGCAGGTGTTTTTGCATCAGTTTGCAGGCCTCATTTCCTTTCCTCTTTCAGGATTCCATCTCCAAGAGGCTTTCCCTAACCCCCTATCTGGGCTTGCCACCTCTCATCCTCCCTCACTTGTCCCGTCTCCAATCTCTGCCCCTCTTGCGTAATATGTCTCACCTTCTAATGCTATACAGCCATATATTTGATTTGCCCAATATCTGCGTACCCACCTGGACTATAAATTCTGTAAAGGCAATTTATAGAGTCTAGAGGAATATGTGATACTGAGGAAGCATAGGTTTAGAATTCTATTTAAACCACCGATTTATATATTCTCTTTAAATATTAGATTAAAACAATCTGCGCTGTTTGTAACAGATGCATTTCTAGATGGTTTTAAAGTATATTTTTGTGTGAGCAGCAAGCAAATGTGTTTCTGTCATGAAATCTTTTGTGGTTTTCCATTCTAAATACACTTACAAGATTCTTATTCATAAAGAGATGAGATAACTTTTCACCCGTACTTTATTCTAACACTTCTACACTTTGCGTTTTGGTATGTAACTCTTTAATATGTAAAGAATTTCGTTAAACGTGATAAAACACAGATTTCAATTGTTTTATTTTCCTGGAACATACTGTTGGGTTTTTGTTACTGTTAATGCCATTGGCTTTTCTTGTCATCATGCTCTGTAATATTTTAAAATTTAACTTGAGACTTTTCCTCGCCTGCAGAATCTACAGGAGTTCAGCCCTCACTTAGCATTTCTTACCTGTCTCCAGGATATTTTCATGACAGTATCTCTGTATTTTAAAAGCACTTTTCAATATGAGTTAAATCTACTTGGGTTTGTTTTCGTTATCATTACAAGTTTTGATAAGATACAGAGCAAATAAATGGAAATCTAATAGGAAGTTGGTTCCCAGAAGTGGAAATATCAAGACCTCAAGTCAAATCCGCCTCTGGCCACTTTTTCCTGAAGCACCTGCCAAGTGTTATCAACATTTGGAGAACTGACTGTTTTACACTGTTAAGCTGCATGCCCACCCCATTTGGGCTGCTTGATAAATATTTGTGGATTGGATTGCATTGAGCCTTCGGGCATGATACTTTTTCAGGCAAATAGGCCAAGGACCAGCTTTCCTTCTCCATCTCTCTTGTTTTCTCCTTCTCTTAGCTGCGGTCCAGCACAGAGCTCCATCCAGACCTGCTCACGGATTGCCTCACTGTGCAGCCACTGCAGCCGGCCGCTTCCCCAAGAGATGCTGCTGCCGATGGCACTGTGGGATGCTCCTCAGGGTCCGGACCGGACCTCTATTCAGGTAACTGCAGCCAAGGCTGTACCAGCCGCACACACTGCCCTGCCCTTCAGGTCTGACCCTCTGGATAAAGGGAGGGCTCACATGAGAAAAATTCTGCTGTGTTCCTGGGTATTTTGCTTTATCAAAGGGCTGCATGTTGCTCTCCCCACCCCACTCTGCCCCACCCCCACATCTGATTCCTGAGCTGGGTTTGGCAGCCTACTGCGTTTTCCCATAAAGAAACAAAGTGAAATAATACATTTGCTCTTTTAGCTTTGGACTTCTGCCAGAATTTCAGTATGCCCAACCCTCCCAGGTATCTTTAATTTGCTAGCTTGATTTAGAATCAAAAGGAATGTTTTTCCCACACCCCCTTAAGCAGGTAACAGGCTGTATGTGAATTGCTTAATGGAAACGTGCTTGTCATCTTCCCATTTAAAATGAACCCCTGGTCCCTAAGAACTTGTAAGAATATTCCTAAATGTTTGCCAACCACTGGAGAAAAGGTGCAGGGTGGTATTCCCAAACTACCGTCTACCTGGGTTCAAACAATTGGTGACTTTATAGCTGGAAAAAAAAAAGTGCATCTCTATAGTTTTAAAAATAAGAAATGATTACTATGTAACAAGGAAGTTAATGTTTAATTTTTTTTTTTTTTAGCTTGGGGATTTGTGCATTTTCCGCTGCATATTGGTGATCTGCCTATGTAAACATAATGAATTGTCATCCTTACATAGGAAAAGCCCTTATGGTCATACCACACATATGAAATCAAAAGTCTCTTTTTTCATTATATAAAGATTTGTTTATTTTTACTGGAAAGACATAATTTATTTTTTTACAAAAAGGAAGGAGAGGCGAAGATATTCTGTTGAATGATTCATTCCCCAAGTGGCCACCGTGGCCAGAGCTAAATTGATCTGAAGCCAGGAGCCAGTAGCGTCTTCGTGGTCTCCCATGTGGGTGCAGGGTGCCAAGGAAATAGGCAGGGAGCTGGAAGGGAGGTGGAGCAGCAGTGGTACGAACTGGCGCCCATAAGGGATCCCAGCATGTGCAAGGCCAGGGCTTGAACTGCTAGGCTACCACGCTGGGTCCAGAAATCAAGTCTTAACATGCCCACATTCCAGACAAAGGGACTGTATTTCCTAGGATTGCAAAATCCACTCCCACATCCATCTGATTCCAGAGCCAGGTTTGGCAGCAGGTTGTGTATGTGTTTTTGTTTTTCTTTTTTTTTAAATCCCCAGTAAGCCATAAAGAATTAAGTACGTGCTGATGCATTGTAGTGGAAGAGGAGAAAGGCATGCTTGGGTGGTAGTTTAGACCTCAGAATTCTCAGTTGCTCCAGGTACATGGGTAAATGGTGGTAAGTAAGTATTTTTAAGAGGGTCAGTCTTCAAGAAGTCTTCAGTGAATCTGTATTCTTGGCTTTGGTTCCTTACGCTTGGAGATAACACAGATGCTTCACGCGACCCAGGGGGAAGAGATTAGAACTTAGCTGGAGCTCACTCAAGCTTGCAGAAGTACATATATATTGTACTTGCAGGTACTGTATATATATATATATATATATATATATACAGAGCAAGCCTGTCATTGCCAGTGTTACTAACACATGCATGAGTATTTTGCATTAGATAAATACATGACAAAGCATGTGTTTTATATTTTATTTTATGGCTTCTGTTTGTATATGTCATTTGGCTTACCGCATATTTGATGTATGGAGATTTATTTCAGCACATTCAATTAATACTCAGTTTAAAACAGATTGCAAACCATTAGCCTTCTTAAGCTTGTAGCTCTGGAATCTTGCTAAAGACCTCACACTCAACAGTTAAGGGTCAAGACTAACCAAATGTAATGGAAAGATGGCCCAGCACTCCAACATAAATGTTGTTGTTGGGCCTCTTGGAGATAGATTTAGGAAAACTATGATATCTCTTTCTATGGAAAATGTTACACCTTTGTTGTGTATAGTGTACAGCAGAAGGCTCATTTGCAAAGCTTCACATTTGTCTTTGTGTTTATATATCTTTCAGTATTTTTAACTTTTTGGTGTTTTGATGGCTTTAAAGATAGCTTCAGACAGTTTAGATTTCTAATTTTTTTTCATGACGCTTTGCTGATTTTAGTCTTAGAAAAGACCTGGAGCTCTTGGCTCCCAGGTGTGCATAGGAGTTGAGCTGCCATAACAGGCTAAGGAGTTATGTAGATATAGCCAGCAACCATCAACAGAGCATCTTTGGATTGATTCCAGCCCTTGAACCAGGCAAGTAGCCATCTTGCTCAACTTGGCTCCTGAAATTTTACTTCTTCGGGCAGCTTGTAACTGGAGAATTTATCTTCACTACTTCTTTTTTTGTTTCCACTCCCCTTGGGGTCAATTTTATTCTATGAAGGAAGAAAGGGAAGGAGGGAGGAAGGGTAATGAAAAGAGAAAAAGGGGAGAGCATTGTGGCATATCAGGCTAAGCTTCCCCCTGCAGTGCCGGATTCCAGTAAGGGCACCAGTTCTTGTCTTGGCTATTCCACTTCCCCTCCAGCTCCTTGCTCCTTGGTCGCCTTCATCCGTGTTGGAGAAACGAAGGGTTTCTCTCTTTGGATAGGTTAATTTCTGGCCATCACGGCTATTTGGGGAGTGAGCCAGTGGATAAATTTCTCTTTCTCTGTTACCGACTCACTCACTTTAATCTCTCTCCTTTTCTCTCTGTACCTTGGCCTTTCAAATAGCTATAACAGCCAAAGTGAAACTGATGCCGAAGCTATGAACAGGGGTGTAAGGACTTGGGCCATCCTCCACTACTTTCCCAGGCCATAAACAGAGAGCTGAATGGGAAGTGGACCAGCTAAGACAAGAACCGGTGCCCATATGGGATGCCAACATGACAGAGCAGAGGACTAGCCTGCTATGCCACCACACCGGCCCCAGATGTCATAATTTTAAAATGGAGATTATTGGTGGCTCATAGAGAATGATAATGGTGATTTCTAAGGTTCCAGTAGCAGTATGACCAAGGGAGATGGCAGTTTCTCTCTCTCTCTCTCTCTCTCTCTCACACACACACACACACACACACAAATTCCTTTCCTACGTGCCCTGATCTGCTGGTTTCTCTCAATGAAACAGTTTTCCAGCTAAGACTGTACTTGATGGGAAGGGTTGCCTAAAGAAGAGATTGCTTTCTGTGGAAAAAAAAAAATAGTGCGGTGGGTTCAAGCAGCCAAATATCACTTGATGCTGCTTTTTTAAGTGGAAGTGTTGTTTTCTATTCTCAGAATCCCAGGCCTTCTGGGGCCTGCTCCTAAACTAGCCTGCGAACAGTGTCAGGGCCATGAGAACAGTCCTTGAGGACGGCTTACTCAGCTTTCCTGCTCTTTTGGGCAGAGGTTCCATGCCCCAGATAAGTAAGTGGCCACCTTGTACATTCAGGAAATTTACCCAGTCACTTGAGAGATCCTATTTCATAACCAGGATAAGGAGTGAGGTGTGGGTGTTACCTTTGTGCCTGTAGAGATCTTCTGATGAGCTCCTGCAGTTGCTTAATGAAGTGGGTAAGCAAGCCTTTTCATTGAATGAGTTCACAGTATCATGGATGGCCTGGGCCAGTGCCTAGCCTTGGCAGAGAGTCTGTTCCCTAACAAATAATGCTTTGTGGAAGATGATCTGTCCCATGAGCAATCACAGAAATTATGGCTCCCTCCAAAACAGAGCTACATGACAGATGCTGTAAAACCGTAACCTAGCAAGTGACCTAAACCACAGAGACATCATAGAGGCCAATGTAATCGACATGTTTCAGTCCCATGGAAACTACCCATCAACCCAGGAGCTAACACAGCTAGAATGAGAGAAGCGTGCAAGAATGAGAGCATTTTATCAAGACCTTTTCTATTGAGCTCTAAAATAATTGCTATCTTTAGAGCTTATAAATTCTCTTGAATTATCAAAAGTTGAATGCAGCCTTAAGCATTTTAGGGATAATTATTTTATTTGGCGATGATAGGGAAATCTAAGAGGAAAACATTTTATTTTTGAGCAGCAATTGAGGAAGTCAGTATGTATTTTCATTCTCTTCCCTCCCTTCCCATTAGTACGATTGTGAGAACTTCTCTTTTACAATATCTTTGCTTTTTAAAATAAATAGTGTCACATTAAATCTGTAAAGAAGTGAGAGTGCTTAGAGAAACAGTTCATCTTTCATCCTAATGTAATTTTATGGTATACGTCTTAATAAATTTTCAACAGACACTTTGAGCATACTGAAGTTGAATACATTTGCTGTCTGTGGACAGCTTGCACAGTTGCAAGTGTTAGGAATAATTTTCTATATAAGTACCTCATAGAGTCTGTTCTTAAAAAGTAGTTGTTAATTTAAGGACATTATTAGTGGGTTCTACATTGACACACAGACTGCCCAGTAGGTTAAACTTTATAGGAGAATTGGGACGATCAAACAAGATAATCTATATGAAAACTTTAATAAGATATAGAGCATTATAAAATGCATAGTTACTGCCTGCACTATCTTCAAATAACTATGCTTTGCTTGGACTCCATGAAAGCAATAAAGCAACCGTACAACTTTGAAGCCGGTAGGAGACAGAAGGAAGTAGCTACTTAGGGCACTCAGAGGATTTAAAGAAATATGCTTGACAGGTTTTTTTTTTTTTTTATGTCTCAGCTGAGACTATTTTGAAAGGCTGTGAAGATCTTGCATTGTTTTTGCATCATTTCTTACATCTGTATTCCATCTACCAATGTGGATTGGAGAGTCAGTGAGGGTAGGTGCAAGCTTGAGAGCTCACCTGTTGTGGGCCCTCATAGCTTTCATCTGTAGGGTTCTCCCTCCTTGGTCCTGGTACAATCCTATTCTGCATCCTATCTCCTGGAAGATTTGTGAGATGAGTGTGCTGGGCTGACCCCCTTAGTGAGTCCTAGGAGTTTAAACTGTTACCGGTTGTTTTTCTTACAAGTTACCAGATGACACTGGATGCTGCCGATTTAGGGACTCCACTTTG